AGTAAAAAGAACAAGGGTCTAGCATGTGCACAATTGCAAGAACAAGGGCCTAGCGTGTGCAAAATAAAAAGAACAAGGGCATAGCGTGTGCAAAATAGCAAGAACAAGGGCCTAGCGTGTGCAAAATAAAAAGAACAAGGGCCTAGCGTGTGCAAAATAAAAAGAACAAGGGCCTAGCGAGTGCAAAATTGCAAGAACAACGGCCTAGCATGTGCAAAATTGCAAGAACAAGGGCCTAGCGAGAGCAAAATAGCAAGAGCAAGTTCCTAGCGTGTGCAAAAAATCAAGAACAAGGGCCAAGTGTTCGCGAAATAGCAAGAACAAGGGCCTAGCGTCTGCAAAAAAAAGAAAAACAAGGGTCTAGCATGTGCAAACTTGCAAGAACAAGGGACTAGCGTGTGCAAAATAAAAAGAACAAGAGCATAGCATGTGCAAAATAGCAAGAACAAGGGCCTAGCGTGTGCAAAATAAAAAGAACAAGGGCCTAGCGTGTGCAAAATAAAAGGAACAAGGGCCTTGCGTGTGCCAAATTGCAAGAACAAGGGCCTAGCGTGTGCAAAATTGAAAGAACAAGGGCCTAGCGAGTGCAAAATAGCCAGAGCAAGGGCCTAGCGTGTGCAAAATAAAAAAAACAAGGGCCTAGCATGTGCAAAATTGCAAGAACAAGGGCATAGCGTGTGCAAAATTGCAATAACAAGGGCATAGCGTGTGCAAAATAGCAAGAGCAAGGGCCTAGCGTGTGCAAAAAATCAACAACAAGGGTCTAGCATGTGCAAAATTGCAAGAACAAGGGCCTAGCGTGTGCAAAATAAAAAGAACAAGGGCATAGCGTGTGCAAAATAGCAAGAACAAGGGCCTAGCGTGTGCAAAATAAAAAAAACAAGGGCCTAGCGTGTGCAAAATAAAAAGAACAAGGGCATAGCGTGTGCAAAATAAAAAGAACAACGGCCTAGCGTGTGCAAAATAAAAGAAACTAGGGCATAGCGTGTGCAAAATTGCAAGAACAAGGGCCTGGCAAGTGCAAAATAGCAAGAGCAAGGGCCTAGCGTGTGCAAAATAAAAAGAACAAGGGCATAGCGCGTGCAAAATAAAAAGAACAAGGGCCTAGCGTGTGCAAAATTGCAAGAACAAGGGCCTAGCGAGTGCAAAATAGCAAGAGCAAGGGCCTAGCGTGTGCAAAATAAAAAGAACAAGGGTCTAGCATGTGCAAAATTGCAAGAACAAGGGCCTAGCGTGTGCAAAATAAAATGAACAAGGGCATAGCGTGTGCAAAATAGCAAGAATAAGGGCCTAGCGTGTGCAAAATAAAAAGAACAAGGGCCTAGCGTGTGCAAAATTGCAAGAACAAGGGCCTAGCGTGTGCAAAATTGCAAGAACAAGGGCCTAGCGAGTGCAAAATAGCAAGAGCAAGGGCCTAGCGTGTGCAAAAATTCAAGAACAAGGGCCTAGCATTCGCGAAATAGCAAGAACAAGGGCCTAGCGTGTGCAAAATAAAAAGAACAAGGGTCTAGCATGTGCAAAATTGCAAGAACAAGGGCCTAGCGGGTGCAAAATAAAAAGAACAAGGGCATAGCGTGTGCAGAATAGCAAGAACAAGGGCCTAGCGTGTGCAAAATAAAAAGAACAAGGGCCTAGCGTGTGCAAAATTGCAAGAACAATGGCCTAGCGTGTGCAAAATTGCAAGAACAAGGGCCTAGCGAGTGCAAAATAGCAAGACCAAGGGCCTAGTGTGTGCAAAAATTCAAGAACAAGGGCCTAGCGTTCGCGAAATAGCAAGAACAAGGGCCTAGTGTGTGCAAAATAAAAAGAACAAGGGTCTAGCATGTGCAAAATTGCAAGAACAAAGGCCTAGCGTGTGCAAAATAAAAAGAACAAGGGCATAGCGAGTGCAAAATAGCAAGAACAAGGGCCTAGCGTGTGCAAAATAGCAAGAACAAGGGCCGAGCGTGTGCAAAATAAAAAGAACAAGGGCCTAGCGTGTGCAAAATAAAAGGAACAAGGGCCTAGCGTGTGCAAAATTGCAAGAACAAGGGCCTAGCGTGTGCAAAATTGAAAGAACAAGGGCCTAGCGAGTGCAAAATAGCCAGAGCAAGAGCCTAGCGTGTGCAAAAAATCAAGAACAAGGGCCTAGCATTCGCGAAATAGCAAGAGCAAGGGCCTAGCGTGTGCAAGATAAAAAGAACAAGGGTCTAGCATGTGCAAAATTGCAAGAACAAGGGCCTAGCGTGAGCAAAAAAAAAAGAACAAGGGCCTAGCGTGTGCAAAATAAAAAGAACAAGGGCCTAGCGTGTGCAAAATTGCAAGAACAACGGCCTAGCGTGTGCAAAATTGCAAGAACAAGGGCATAGCGAGTGCAAAATAGCAAGAGCAAGGGCCTAGTGTGTGCAAAAATTCAAGAACAAGGGCCTAGCGTTCGCAAAATAGCAAGAACAAGGGCCTAGCGTGTGCAAAATAAAAAGAACAAGGGCATAGCGTGTGCAAAATAGCAAGAACAAGGGCCTAGCGTGTGCAAAATAAAAAGAACAAGGGCCTAGCATGTGCAAAATTGCAAGAACAAGGGCCTAGCGTGTGCAAAATTGCAAGAACAACGACCAAGCGTGTGCAAAATTGCAAGAACAAGGGCCTAGCGAGTGCAAAATAGCAAGAGCAAGGGCCTAATGTGTGCAAAAATTCAAGAACAAGGGCCTAGCGATTGCGAAATAGCAAGAACAAGGCCTTGGCGTGTGCAAAGTAAAAAAAACAAGGGTCTAGCATGTGCACAATTGCAAGAACAAGGGCCTAGCGTGTGCAAAATAAAAAGATCAAGGGCATAGCGTGTGCAAAATAGCAAGAACAAGGGCCTAGCGTGTGCAAAATAAAAAGAACAAGGGCCTAGCGTGTGCAAAATAAAAAGAACAAGGGCCTAGCGAGTGCAAAATTGCAAGAACAACGGCCTAGCATGTGCAAAATTGCAAGAACAAGGGCCTAGCGAGTGCAAAATAGCAAGAGCAAGTTCCTAGCGTGTGCAAAAAAAAAAAGAACAAGGGTCTAGCATGTGCAAAATAGCAAGAACAAGGGCCTAGCGTGTGCAAAATAAAAAGAACAAGGGCCTAGCGTGTGCAAAATAAAAAGAACAAAGGCATAGCGTGTGCAAAATAAAAAGAACAAGGGCCTAGCGTGTGCAAAATAAAAAGAACAAGGGCATAGGGTGTGCAAAATTGCAAGAACAAGGGCCTAGCGTGTGCAAACTTGCAAGAACAAGGGCCTAGCGAGTGCAAAATAGCAAGAGCAAGGGCCTAGCGTGTGCAAAAAATCAAGAACAAGGGCCTAGCATTCACGAAATAGCAAGAGCAAGGGCCTAGAGTGTGCAAAAAAAAAACAACAAGGGTCTAGCATATGCAAAATTGGACGAACAAGGGCCTAGCGTGTGCAAAATAAAAAGAACAAGGGCATAGCGTGTGCAAACTTGCAAGAACAAGAGCCTAGCCTGTGCAAAATTGCAAGAACAAGGGCCTAGCGAGTGCAAGATAGCAAGAGCAAGGGCCTAGCGTGTGCAAAAAATCAAGAACAAGGGCCTAGCGCTCGCTAGGCCCTTGTTCTTGCAATTTTGCACACGCTAGGCCCTTGTTCTTGCTATTTTGCACACAATAGACCCTTGTTCTTGCAATTTTGCACACGCTATGCCCTTGTTCTTGCAATTTTTTGCACACGCTATGCCCTTGTTCTTGCTATTTTGCACACGCTAGACCCTTGTTCTTGCAATTTTGCACACGCTAGGCCCTTGTTCTTGCAATGTTGCACTTGCTAGGCACTTATTCTTGCTATTTTGCACACGCTAGACCCTTGTTCTTGCAATTTTGCACACGCTAGGCCCTTGTTCTTGCTATTTTGCACACGCTAGCCCCTTTTTCTTGCTATTTTGCTCACACTAGGCCCTTGTTCCTGAAAGTTTGCACACGCTAGGCCCTTGTTCTTGCAATTTTGCACACGCTAGGCCCTTGTTCTTGCAATTTTGCACACGCTAGGTTCTTGTTCTTGCAATTTTGCACACGCTAGGCCCTTGTTCTTGCTATTTTGCACACGCTAGACCCTTGTTCTTGCAATTTTGCACATGCTAGGCCCTTGTTCTTGCAATTTTGCACACGCTAGGCCCTTGTTCTTGCAATTTTGCACACGCTATGCCCTTATTCTTGCAATTTAGCACAGGCTAGGCCCCTTTTCTTGCTATTTTGCACACGCTTGACCCTTGTTCTTGCAATTTTGCACACGCTAGGCCCTTGTTCTTGCTATTTTGCACACGCTAGCCCCTTTTTCTTGCTATTTTGCTCACACTAGGCCCTTGTTCCTGAAAGTTTGCACACGCTAGGCCCTTGTTCTTGCAATTTTGCACACGCTAGGCCCTTGTTCTTGCAATTTTGCACACGCTAGGTTCTTGTTCTTGCAATTTTGCACACGCTAGGCCCTTGTTCTTGCTATTTTGCACACGCTAGACCCTTGTTCTTGCAATTTTGCACATGCTAGGCCCTTGTTCTTGCAATTTTGCACACGCTAGGCCCTTGTTCTTGCAATTTTGCACACGCTATGCCCTTATTCTTGCAATTTTGCACACGCTAGGCCCTTTTTCTTGCAATTTTGCACATGCTAGGCCCTTGTTCTTGCAATTTTTGCACACACTAGGCCCTTGTTCTTTTTATTTTGCACATGCTAGGCCCTTGTTCTTTTTATTTTGCACACGCTAGGCCCTTGTTCTTGCTATTTTGCACACGCTATGTCAGATTTATATGACATAGTTGCTGTAGGCTATAGTGGGGTAGCACATATGGGGTACAGGGTTTCTAGGGTTGTATTTGTACCCAATCTTTCCTTAGTCATTTCATTCCTGTTTTCCTTGCTTCACATGGTATAGAGCGGGTCCTACTTTAGGACCGTTTTTTTTAGGGCCCACCGAAGCGCGCCCCGAGGCGCGCCTTTTTTTTTAGCGACCCCTCGGGTCGCCTTTTCCCTCGCGGCCCTGCTGTCCCTCAGACGCGGCCCCGCCACCTCTCCTGATCGCGGCCCCGCCGCCTGTTTGACGCGGCCCCGCCGCCTCCCCTGACGCGGCCCCGCCGCCTCCCCTGACGCGGCTCCGCCGCCTCCCCTGACGCGGCCCCGCCGCCTGTTTGACGCGGCCCCGCCGCCTGTTTGACGCGGCCCCGTCGCCTCCCCTGACGCGGCCCCGCCGCCTCCCCTGACGCGGCCCCGCCGCCTCCCCTGACACGGCTCCGCCGCCTCCCCTGACGCGGCCCCGCCGCCTGTTTGACGCGGCCCCGCCGCCTTCCCTGACGCGGCCCCGCCGCCTCCCCTGACGCGGCTCCGCCGCCTCCCTTGACGCGGCACCGCCACCTCCCCTGACGCGGCTCCGCCGCCTCCCCTGACGCGGCCCTGCCGCCTCCCCTGACTCGGCTCCGCCGCCTCCCCTGCCGGCCCGCCGCTGCACCTGCCGGCCCGCCGCTGCACCCAGCGGCCCGCCGCCTCTGACGGCCTCGCCGCTGCACCTGCCGGCCCGCCGCCTCTGACGGCCTCGCCACTGCACCTGCCGGCCCGCCACTGCACCCTACGACCCGCCGCCTGCACCTGCCGGCCCGCCACTGCACCTGCCGGCCCGCCACTGCACCTGCCGGCCCGCCGCTGCACCTGCCGGCCCGCCGCTGCACCTGCCGGCCCGCCACTGCACCGGTCAACCCGCCGCTGCACCTGACGGCCCCGCCCCTGGATCTCCTGGCCGAGCCGCCCCAGCAGCCGAACCGCCCGTGAGCCGAGCCGCCCGACGACGAGCCGCCCAGCCGCCGAGCCGCCCGGGAGCCGAGCCGCCCTGCGCCCGAGCCGCCCAGCAACCGAGCCGCCCTGCACCCGAGCCGCCAGGTCACTGAGCCGCCTTTCTGCATACCTACTCGACCTGCCCTGTCTGGTGAGCACAGTCCCACTGACACTGCGAGCTCTTTCCCTGCTGCTTGCACTGCGTCGCTGTCGTCGCCATGGCTACCCCTAGTGTCCTAGCTTTTGACGCTGAGGGTCGCGCCATTGATTTTGAGGTCTGGTTAGACGACCTGCAGCTGTTCTTACAGTGCGACAGGGCTGACGACCTTTCTCTCTTTGATCTCACCTCTGGCGCCTCTCCTGCTCCTGCTGCTGATGCTGATCCCGCTGTCCGCTCTAAGTGGGCCACCCGCGATGCTGCTGCACGTCTTGCTGTGCGTTGCCACCTCCCTACCTCTGAGCGTGCGCACTTTAGTCAGTACAAGAGTGCTCAGACCTTGTACGACGCTGTAGTTGCGCACTACTCCTCCCCTGCCACTGCTGCACTGAGCCGTCTCATGCTTCCCTACCTCTTTCCTGACCTCTCTGCCTTTCCCACTGTCGCTGACCTCATTACGCACCTCCGCACTAGTGACACTCGCTACCGCGCCGCCCTTCCTGCTGAGTTCTGCGCTAAGAACCCCCCCCCCATGTACATCGCTCTCTACTACGTAGTCGCGCGCCTCCCTGACTCCCTTCGCGTCGTCAGGGACCACTTTCTCGCAGTCTGTCCCACCACCCTCACCGTCGACCTCCTCGAGAAGGCCCTCCTTGCAGCGGAGAAGAGCATAGTCGCTGTAGGTGCTTCTCGTGGTGACCCTCGCACCCCCATCTTTGAGGGGTGCTCTCCTTCCCCCTTGCTGCCCTCTGTTGCCTCTGCTGCTGCTGCCGACCTGCTTGGTCTTTAGTCGGTCGGCGCGGCGTCTGCCCCTAGTGGGAGACGTCGCTCCAGCAAGGGCAAGGGGGGCAAGGGCGCGGGTGGAGCTGGAGGGGGCGGTGGCGGTGGCGGCGGTGGCGGCGGAGGGAGTGGGGGTGGCGGCGGGACTAGTGGCGGGGGTGGTGGTGGTGGTGGTGGCAGCAGCGGCGGAGACGGTGGTGGTGGTGCCAGCGGTGGTGGTGGAGGCAGCGGCGGAGGTGGAGGCGGCGGAGGTGGAGGCGGTGGAGGCGGCAGCGGAGGAGGCAGTGGTGGTGGAGGAGGTGGAGCTGGTCGGGGTGGTACCCAGCAGCGTAGCGGCGGTGGTGGTGGCCAGCGCTCGCACCGGCAGCAGCAGCAGCGCTCGCGGGACATCCCTTCGCCTCAGCAGCTTCGTGAGTGGTACGCTGGGCGTCAGAGGGGTGGGGGTACTGGTCCCTGCACCTACGTTCTTCGTTCCGGCGACCGCGCGGGTGAGCAGTGTGGGGGTGCCCAGGCCACCCAGCGCTGCTTTGGCCGCCTGACGGACGCTTGGCGTCAACAGTTCCCTGGGGCTAGTAAGATCCCTCGCTGGGATGAGCTTCTCAGGGCTGGTGTAGCGATCTTTGATCTTGATTTTGATGCTATCCTTACTGCTATGTATGTTGTGGATTATAGTGAGGAGAATGAGGGTTACCGGTGTTTCCAGCCCGACCCGGGCATTGGTACTGCTGCGCTAGGTGCTTGTGAGGCTGCTGCTCTAGGTGCCAGTGCGTCTGCGCTCTCAGGTACTGGTGAGACTGCGCTCTCAGGTACTGCGTCGTCCTCGTCCTCCCTCACTTTCACACTTGACTCCGGAGCTTCTCGCTCCTTCTTTCGAGACCGCACTACCCTTACGCCGCTCGGCCGGCCGGTTGCAGTCTCCCTTGCTGACCCCTCTGGAGGTCCTGTCCTGTCTCACTTCTCCACTGTCCTCCCGTGTCCGGCTGCCCCTTCGGGCACCCTGTCGGGTCTGTACCTTCCCTCGTTCTCTACGAACTTGGTGAGTGGAGCGGACCTGCAGGATGGGGGTGTTCACCAGTTCACTCCTGCGAGTCAGCGGGTGACCCACTGCACGGAGGCACGCACAAGCCGACACCTGGCCACCTTCTCGCGTCGGCCGGGGTCGAGTCTCTACACCCTGACCGTTGAGTCTCCTCCTGTCCCTGCGTCTGGTCAGGTGGCTGCGTCGGGTCAGGTACTTGCTGCTGCGTCCCGGTCAGGTCCTGAGTCTGCCCCCTGTTCTTGTCGCCTCCTGTCTCACGAGACTCTCCTGTGGCACCACCGTCTTGGCCACCCCTCCTTGCCCCGTCTTCGGAGCATGGCTTCCCGTGTCCTTGTCTCTGGTCTTCCCCAGTCTCTCCCTCCTCTCCCCTCCGGGCCAGGACCTTCCTGTGTCCCCTGTGTCGAGGGTCGCCTCCGGGCTACTCCTCACTCCTCCCACTTCCCCCCGACAGAGGCTCCCCTGCAGACGCTTCACATGGATGTGTGGGGCCCAGCCCCCGTCCGTGGGCAGGGTTACGAGCGCTACTTCCTGTTGGTGGTTGACGACTACTCACGTTACACCACAGTCCTCCCCTTGCGCAGCAAGGGTGCGGTCACTGAGGTGCTGATCGACTGGATCCGCGAGGCTTGTCTCCAGCTCAGGAAGAGCTTCGGCTCGGACTTTCCTGTTCTGCGTCTGCACTCTGACAGAGGCGGAGAGTTCTCTTCTCGCCTTCTACGAGACTACTGTCGTGCACGGGGGATCCGCCAGACCTTCACGCTTCCGGACTCACCACAGCAAAATGGGATTGCTGAGCGCCGCATTGGCATGGTCATGGATGTCGCTCGTACGTCCATGATGCATGCGGCTGCCCCCCATTTTCTGTGGCCGTTTGCGGTGAGGTACGCGGCGCATCAGCTCAACCTTCACCCCCGGGTCTCTCGGCCTGCGATGTCCCCAGTCTTGCTGTGGACGGGGAAGGTTGGCGATGCGTCTGTGTTCCGTGTCTGGGGATCTCGGGCGTTTGTCCGCGACTTGTCTGCGGACAAGCTGTCCCCTCGTGCTGCTCCCTGTGTCTTCCTTGGCTTCCCCACTGACGCCCCAGGGTGGCAGTTTTACCACCCCTCCTCTCGTCGTGTTCTGTCCTCCCAGGACGTCACGTTCGACGAGTCAGTCCCCTTCTACCGTCTCTTCCCCTACCGCACTCCTTCCCTCCCCCCTCCCCCGGACTTCCTTGTGCCGGTTCCCCCCCCGGTAGACCCCCTCCCCCCTCAGGTTCCTGCCCCCTCAGGTGTGTCCCAGGTAGACGCCGTTGACCCGGTCGAGGTTACTGGTGACTCTGGTGCTGCTGCGGGTGCTGAGCCTGGGGGTGCTGACTCTGGGGGTGCTGTGCGCGGGGGTGCTGAGCCTGGGGGTGCTACGGCTGGGGGTGCTGGGCCTGAGGGTGCTACTCCTGAGGGTGCGGAGCCTGGGGGTGCTGAGCCGGGGGGTGCTGTGCCTGGAGGTGCTGGGTCTGGGGGTGCTGGGTCGGGAGCTGCTGAGCCTGGGGGTGCTGAGCTGGGAGCTGCTGAGCCTGGGGGTGCTGCGTCTGGAGCTGCTGAGCCTGGGGTTTCTCCTGCTGCTGCGTCTCGCCGGGAGCCCCTCTCTCCACAGGAGCTGCGCGAGTGGTTCGCTCGCCGCTGGAGGCGTGCTGCTGAGTCTGGAGGTGCTGCTGGTGCTGGAGCTGGAGCTTCTTCGACCGTCGAGGGTGCGGGTGCTGCCGGTCCCGGAGCTGCTGGACCTGCGGGTCCTCCTGGAGCTGGAGCTGCTGAGGGCGTTCGTGCTGAGCCTGCTGCTGTTGGTCCTGCCGCTGGAGGTGTGGGTGGCGCTGGTGCTGTAGCTGAGGGTGCTGGTGCTGTCCCTGCTGAGTCTGGAGCTGCCGCGCGGCCTCGGCCGTACTTCGTTCCGCTCCTGCAGCAGGTTCTTGGTCTTTCTCCTCCAGTAGAGGGTCCACCGCCTGTCCAGTCGCAGTCCCTACTGGAGCCTTCCTCTCCACTGCCTGCTCCCTCTCCTTACACTGGTCCTACTGGAGGTCTTGCTGAGCGTCGTGAGCCTGCGTCTCGTCCCGCGTCGCCTGTTCGTGCTGCTCGCGCTAGTGGTCGCAGTTCGCGTCAGCGTCCTCCTCCTGTCCCTGGCACGCACCGGATGTCTCTGCGTCCGTCCACTGCTCCTCTGCGTGCCCCTTTGCCTTCTCCTCCTGAGTCCTCTCTTCCTGCGCTTGCCGACCCTGAGTCGGACTCTCTTCGCGCTGCGAGTCCTACTGTCACGCGTCTGCTTGCTACTGTCGTCACTGACCCCTCTTTTGAGTCCACTGCTGCGTCTGCTCTAGTCGCTGAGCTCGTTGACTTTGCTGCCCGCTGTCGTCTCGACTACGCTGCTAGTCTTGTTGCTGAGTCTGTCTGTCCTCCGTCCGTCGGGGGTGAGTGTGCTCTTGGCACGGACGTCCTAGAGGACAGGCAGGAGGAGTTACAGTGTCTAGCGGCTGCTTCACCTCATCTCGCGTCTGTACTGCTTGCCCCTGAGGGAGACCCGGATGCACTAGACATCCCGACTCCGCGTTCTTACGCGGAGGCCGTAGAGGGTCCCTACTCCTCTCAGTGGCAGGCAGCTATGGATGCAGAGATGGCTTCCTGGAAGTCCACAGGCACCTACGTTGACGCGGTTCCCCCTCCTGGGGCGAACATCGTCAGTGGCATGTGGATCTTCAGGGTGCAGCGGCCGCCGGGCTCTCCACCTGTCTTCAAGGCACGGTACGTTGCTCGTGGCTTCAGTCAGCGGCAGGGAGTCGACTACTTTCAGACCTTCTCTCCCACCCCGAAGATGACCACTCTTCGGGTGCTGCTGCACATAGCCGCTCAGCGCGACTACGAGCTTCACTCTCTCGACTTCAGCACTGCGTTCCTGCAGGGTAGCCTGCACGAGGAGATCTGGCTTCGCCGTCCACCTGGCTTCACTGGGACTTTCCCTCCTGGCACCCAGTGGAGCCTCCGACGGCCAGTCTACGGTCTCCGCCAGGCACCGCGTGAGTGGCACGACACACTGAGGACTACGCTTGCGGCTCTTGGGTTTGCTCCTTCTACTGCTGACCCGTCGCTGTTTCTTCGCACCGACACTTCCCTGCCGCCGTT